TTCCCTACGACCACGTGTCACGGGCGGAAAAATGGCCACGGACCACGTGTCAGAGGCGGAAAATGGCCGCGGACCACGTGTCATGGGCGGAAAAATGGCTGCGGACCAGGTGTCATGGGCGTAAAAATGGCCACGGACCAGGTGTCACGGGCATAAAAATGGCCGCAGACCACGTGTCACAGGCGTAAAAATGGCCATGGACCACGTATCAGGGCGGAAAAATGGCCGCGGACCACGTGTCGCGGGAGGGAAAATGGCCACGGACCACGTGTCAGGGCGGAAAATGGCCGCGGACCACGTGTCACGGGAGGGAAAATGGCCGCGTATCCTGTCCGTACCCCAAGGCGAAGTTTGCACATCGAGGCAATTTTTTGCAGCCGGAGCTGATCGTAACCCAAAAAGTTCGTTAACAGAAGCGTTCGTAACCCGAGGTACCACTTTATTCTTTTTTCTATTTCTTCTTTTTATTTCTTTCTCTATTTTCTTTTTCTTTTTGCACTTTGTATTTCTTTTCTTTCTATTTGCTATTTGCTATTTTCTTTTTGATATTAGTTTGTATTATCTTTTAGTATTGTTAGACTCCTAATAAAAATTTTTTTAAAAAAAGGAATTGTTCCAATAGGTGTAGAGGAAGAGAAGTAAAATTCAAATTGTTGTATAGTTTTCATCAGAATATTGGTAGTCAGCTTTGTATCATGATGCTTGTTCATGAAACCTGGTTTCTGAAAAGTTAATAAAAGGTTATTTACTTATTTTGTTTCTAGACAATTCCTCTTTTTTCCCCCATATCCTTTGTCTTTTTGTGTCATGTTAATTAGATCGTTTCTATGGGTAATGAGTGACCTCTAGAATGGGTGTCAGCAAAAGAATGAGGTGAACTGGCTGTACTGTATCAACCTACAGTATATTATCAAGCTAGTTGTTTGACTTGGATCACACATTAAATTATAGCTCCATATGGATGGATTATTTCTCTAGAAGGAGCAGGACTTCCAGAAGGCCTGTATGAATATCTGATACAAATAGAAATGTTAAGTGTCTAAGAGATGATTCAATTATAAACAGCTTTTTAAAATATATGACAAATATAAAGTAGAATAAGCCCAGGTCTATCCCTTCTTGCTTCAATATTAAATATTTATTTTTATGAAGGCAAATATCCTAAAAATATTTGATCAATGGTTAGTTAATCCATACAGGTGACAATATTTAACTTTAATAAAGATGAAATCTTTCAAGACTCTCTCCTGGAATGGTCAGAAATACCTCATTGGTTTAAATATCTTCAAATAAAAAGTTTAGTTCAAAAGATGCTACTAAAACAAAGTGACATACTTAGACATATGACTGAATCTGAAATGCTTATAACACAGAACATCTGTTAGAGCTTGCTGCTGAAATATGATTAAAAAACTGAACAAGTCAAAGATTGCATGATTAAATGGATACTGAATTTAAGCAGGACAATTGATATGCAGCAGTGGAAGACAAGATTGTGAATATTACACTCAAAGACAACTGGAATAAAAGTTGTTTTTATTGGTGTATTACTCCAGTGTTGATTACCAAAACAGATAATACATATTCAAAAACCTGCAATAATCAGGTTGGATTGTTCTTTCATATGGTAATGTCACAAAGCTATTTTGGAAGATAATTCACTTTAGAATGATATAAATGTTAAATATTGACTTTTCTACCAGTTATTTTTCTGTTAAGACTAACTGAGTTTTATATCCCTACAAAGTATACCAAGTTAGTTTTATATATGATAACTGCTGCTAAGAAGCTCTGTGCTTCTCACTCCAGTGTACATCTTCTCACTAAAGGATTGGCAGATTAAATTTTGGGAGTATGCATCAATGTCAAAAATAACTTCATATCTAAAAAACAAGTCTGGTGCTAACTTTAATTTGGAAAGTGTTTATGAAGCATAATTTTCCACATAGCATTCTGCTATATCTGAAATTCAGGTTTTCTCCAATACTAGATTTTTTCTGGCCATAAATTAAGGATGGACTGCTTCAAGTTACTTAAAAACTCTTGTTAATTCTCAGTATTTTTGGCTGTTTTTGTCAACCTCTGATCTGATTTTAAGATTAGTTCTTAAAGTGCTAAACTGCCATATGATTATTTTTCTAGTTGTTCCACTCTAATACGATTTGTAAAAATAATAATGGAATGTTTCTTTCTTTTAATATTTTGTAAATTCTTTTTATAATTTTTATATTTTTGTAGATCTTTAATGCAATCTATTTTTCCTCTTCCTTTTCCTCTTATTTTAACTAAATAAATAAAAAAGAAAGAAAAAGAAAAGAATGGGTGTCAGCTGTGGTTCTTGCTACCATCTAATCTGAATTCTTGGCACCAGACAGTTGTTCATAGGCTGCCATATGTTTTTTCCCCCTAAAAATCTGTTTCAGATT